GAGAGAAGCAACTTAGAACTGAGGAGAAATTTCCTGACAGTTAGAACAATTAATCAGAAGTTGTGAATGCCCCAACACTGGAAGTCTTTAAGAAGATGTTGGATAGCCATTTGTCTGAAACAGTATAGGGTTAGGGTTAGGGTTGGTATATGGTATAGGGTTTCCTGCCTAGACAGGGGGTTGGACTAGAAGACCTCCAAGGTCCCTTCCAACTCTGCTATTGTATTGTATTGTATGGTATAAAAAGAGGACAGGTTCTCTCTCAGCTATACAAATGGCCTTTTTATTTTCCCACTAATCAAGATAATAGTTTGAACGCTGGGAAACATAATGTCCTTTCAAAAGGTATAACATGTAGAAGAAAGATAATGGAATGCCTTTCTAAAACTAAGCAATGAACGACCCCCTGGAGGTCATCTGTGGATGCTGCCTTGATGGTAATCCTCTTCTCCACCTACCTTAGCTGGGACCGGAATCAAAAGCGCCGTCGCCATTCTAGTCAGCAAAGCGAATTGCAGCAGCAGGAGAGCCAACAGCCTTTAACAGACCTGTCACCCGCCACGGTCAGCATCCTTGGGCCCTACAGCGATTCACAGGTTCCTACGCCAGAGATGGTGGAAAGTGGACAAGTCCTGGAAGGCTTGGAGAAGCTGGAGGGTCTCGGGAAGTCCAGTGCCTTCCAGCTCAACAGGTAAGAACCAGCATGGACAATAATTGGATGTTGCTTTTGGCAGAAGAAGAGAAGGTTAAAATCAGAGCCAAAAAACCAAACAAACCCAGAAGTATGTGAGCAGCTGATTTTGTGTGCAGGGCTAACAAACCTCTATTTGAACCACATGTCAAAATAGATTCGACTTTTCGATGATTTTGTGCCCCCTTAATGTTTATACTCTAGGTTTTCTCAGACATGATGTTTGGAAGAAACCAATGGAAAAGGGATGGTTTCTAAATGGAGAGTGACTTTGTAAAATCTTTGTCCATTTTATTACACAGTTCTAAAGACTATCATGGGGAATATGATAATTTCAGTCACTGTTTTCAAACTACGTAACCATTTTTATCTATTCTTGTTCTTCCCCCTCCCCCTAGCTTTTGTTCCTTGGAAGATACGCAGTTCTCCTTTTCAGTACATTCATCTATGCTATGGCTTTTTTCAAGTGGTATGGAAAGTCATCAGTAGTAAAAATTCCTCCTCTATTGCATGATATGAAATGCTTTGCTAAACTTTAAACAGACATCTTTGTGGTAGCAGTATTTGTACTCAGAAGGTAATAAAAAAAGACTAGCAATAATATCCCTACAGCAGAATTTTTCAAACTCTTTTAGGCTGTGGAACCTGTTAGAAAAAGAAACCTTGAACAAAAGGAAACAGTCTACTGATGGATTGGCTGTGCTGGAGTGATATTTTTTCTCCTAGTGTCTCACAGAACCCTGAGGTTGAAAAACTATGCCCTAGAGAGGACAAGTTGTAGATAGAGAGCTTCAGTTGTTTAATCTGTACGCACTATGCTGCCAATTACCTCCCAAAGACCCATTAGATCACACAGGGCTGGCCTCCTCCGGGTTCCGTCTACTAGCCAATGCCAT